CAATGTCCCGGGGGGGGCATTCCCCTGTTGGCCAGCTGGTCCACAGCAGGGAGAAGCCCCTGAAATGGGGGAACCACCTATCCAGACCTGGGGGCTGGCAAGCCTATTCCCATGTGTAATTGCTTTGGAGAGTTTCCATACTAGTATAATTAATTTTTGTTTCATTCTTCAGTTTATTATTCCCACCCAACCCACCCCCGCCATTTCCTAGTCTTTCCCAGGATACCAGGTAATTCAATCAGCCAATTCCCTGAGCCTGTTCTGATCCTCAAATGCTGCAATTCTTTTAAAAGAAAACTATTACTCAGACTTTATTACGGTCTGGATCCCACCCCAGTGGTTTTGGACTCAACCCTGCCCATCCCATGACCCTCAGATGCCTCTTTGCTGGGTCAGGGGTGTGCCCCAATTTAGAGGCCCAGGCCCAAAGGGCCTGCAGACCACCATGGCAACAACAGCCTGAAGGGTCCTGTGGTATCTGCAAGGCCTTTGGGCCCGCCATGCACCTGGCAACAAACAGGAAGAGGCCTTGTCCCAGGTCTAACAGCCATAGCAACATCTCCTGATAGGAAAGGCTGAAGGTGGCTCCATCTCCACTGTGGGATGGGAGGGGGTGGGAGGCCCATCTAAGGTGAGGTGGGTTCTCCCCTCACAAAGACAGCTCTCTCTTGCAATGAGTCACACTGTGGGGTTCTGGGCCTAGATGCTTCCATTAGAGAGGTTTTGGGCAGCCAAGGAGGTGGGTGGCTGCATATTTCTGAGGTTTAAGAGGTGGCATCTTAGGAGGAGGACAGGAAAGGGCTCTGTGGGCAGGAGAAGACATTTAAAGGGACCACGATCAGTGTTCCCTCTAAGCTGAGCTAGTGTGAGCTAGCTCACAGTTTTTTAGCCTCCGGCTCACACCATTTTGTCTTAGCTCAGGAAGGATAGCTCCAGAGCAAATTAATTTATGCAGTAGCCAAATTGCTTGCTCACAACTTCAATGCCAGTAGCTCACAAAGTAGAATTTTTGCTCACAAGACTCCACAGCTTACAGGGGGCATTGACCGTGATCCGTTTAAATGCTCTTTTTCCTCCAGTGAAAGCAATGGAGGATGGAGGCGCCTTCTTTGGGGGCCCACAGGATTGGCCCCCTGGTCAATCTTTTTTAATGTTGGGGGAGTTTGAGGAGACGCACCAGCAGCTGTGCTGCAAATTTGGTGCCTCTACCTCAAAAAAGCCCCAGCCCCAGATATCTCCAGATCAATTCTCCATTATAGCCTCTTCATTCTACTGGTATGCCTCTCCAGAGATTAAGGACATAATCTAATTGTGAATTTGTACCTGCAGCCAACTCATTCTTCAAAAAGAAACTCTTTTTGGGCAGGAACTGTCCTTATTTATTTTTTTTTGGGGGGGAGATTGACAATACACCTTAAGTGCTAACAGAAAAAGGCAAAAGCAACAAAAACAGGCACTTATTCTCCTCCTCTAAGCAGGAGAGGCAAAGCAAAGTATATGAAAATTGATAATCCTTAAAAAACGAAAAACCCCTATGAGGAGCTCATTCAATTGTTAGTACCAGTGTCTGCTCTCTGCCATCACTCACCTTTCTGTCACTCCACATAAAAGGCATCATAAATTAAACACCCAAATGGAGTAATGAAGAAAATCTGTGCTGCTCTAAACACAGTGTTTTAGTGACATGACAAAAACAGGCACTTATTCTCCTCCTCTGAGCAGGAGAGGCAAAGCAAAGTATATGAAAATTGATAATCCTTAAAAAACGAGAAACCCCTATGAGGAGCTCATTCAATTGTTAGTACCAGTGTCTGCTCTCTGCCATCACTCACCTTTCTGCCACTCCACATAAAAGGCATCATAAATTAAACACCCAAATGGAGTAATGAAGAAAATCTGTGCTGCTCTAAACACAGTGTTTTAGTGACATGGTTATTTATTACTTCCTTAGTCCGATTTCTGTGTGACAAAGCTGCCAGACCAAATGTGTCATTTGATGCCATCAATCAGCTCCTATCCTCCTGTCACCAACTAGATCAGTCATCAAACCCAGTCCATATCCCCCTTATTCTAATTAAGATATGAGACAAAGAAGACTAAGAATGGATTTCCTCTTGCATGACTAAGCCAATTGTTCTCCATTAACTAGCAATGACAGAGTCCCAGACTGGTAGGAATGTCATACAGTGGGTGGATGGGTACAAGGAGAAGCAGCAAGAATAATTGACATTGCATGCAGGTTCTCAGTGAGCTGTGGTCATAAACAGTGAATAAAAAGAAGAGAGAAGAGATTGGATTTATACCCCGGCCTTCACTTGGAGTCTCAAGAGCGGCTTACAAACTCCTTTCCCTTCCCCTCCCCACAACAGACACCCTGTGAGGTAGGTGGGGTCAAGAGAACTCTTTCAAGAACTGCTCTTTCAAGAACAGCTCTGACAGAACTATGGCTTGCCCAAGGTCATCCAGCAGCAGCAAGTGGAGGGGTGGGGAATCAAACCTGGTTCTCCCAGATTAGAGTCAGCTCACTTAACCACTACACCAAACTGAATGAATTACACCATGAATAAACCAATGCATTACACAATGAATAAACCAATGAATTACACTAAAAGATTTTTCTCTATTTTTCAAAAAGTGTAATAGTGGACATGGCCTCTCTCAAGTCTTGTATGTTAAAAACAGTAGGCAGGTGGAGAATAGTGTGCCAGAATTCTGATCAAATTTATTTTTTTGTTCTTTGTTGCCAGCCAAGCAGGCACTTCCAAGCGGATTATGGTTCAAAAACCATCCACATACAAACTGAAACCAGTTAAGAACAGCAACAACAAAACCCCAAACCCTAATGACCACATCAAATTCAAAACCGTTCCTTAAAGTAAAAGCATGAATACGCAGAAATGGAATTTTCCATGGGAGTTTACCCATCATCAATATAAGCTAATTCTCACACAACCTCATCTGCGATACTTAAATCTACAAATCTGGGCCACTGAGAAAGAAAGGAGATTTCCCCACATACTGGGGGGGGGGCAGGTCTGCAGAAAAAGATGGAAAGTTTGTTTAAAAAATTGAGCGGATGCTGACATCCCCCCCAAATGGAAGAGTCCACTGTCTGTACTTGTAAATGTAAATTTATCATCAGCAGAGGGGAGGAGGAGCCATGTGCCATGAGGCAGCCCATCACCTCATCTCCTCTGAAGGCTGATGGGCAGGGAGAAGGAGCAGACAGCCCCCCCCTTCCCAGGGGTGCTGCTGGAGGGAAGGAGCAGGAGTTGCTGCTGCCTTCCACCCCCACTTCAGCCTGGCAGAGTGATGGGGGAACCAGAGCCACTGCTGCTCTCTCACCACCAAGCAGTGGCGAGGCGGACTGATGAACAGATGGGAGCTGTCACCCCATCCCCCCTTACCGCCTCTACATAAACCGCAGAGTGGTAGTAGGGGAAGGAGCAGCCAATGCTGCTGCTACACAAACTGTAGAGGGGTAGCGATATGGGCGGGTGAGAAAAGAGCCACCAATGCCATGCCCCATGGGAGTTGGTGGATCAGCCGGGTGAGTGGAGAAGCAGTCTTGCCAGCCGCAGGCTGCCCAGGAAGTGGTTGGCCCTGTGGGCAAGCAAGGAGGAGATGGGCTCCTCCATAGGTCTCCATTTGCTAAGATTTAATAAAAAGTAGAAGAAGAAGAGATTGGATTTATATCCCGCCCTTCACTACCCAAAGGTGTCTCAGAGCGGCTTACAAACTCCTTTCCCTTCCTCTCCCCACAAGACACCCTGTGAGGTAGGTGGGGCTGAGAGAGCTCTTGACAGAAACTGCTCTTTTTCAAGAACAGCTGTTATCAGGCTTGCCCAAGGTCATCCAGCCAGGTGCGAGTGGAGGAGTGGGGAATCAAACCCGGTTCTCCCAGATTAGAGTCCGCGCACTTAACCACTACATCAAACTGGCTCTCAACAGTGTAAAAACAGTTATACAAGGGATCCCCCATAAAGTACATCAATAGTTTTGCAATACTTTAATATTTTTAATCATTTTATGTAAAAAATAGAAGTATGAAGCCCTCATTAATCCAGGATACACTGGACTTTATATCCTGTATATGACGCCAACTGTAATATGATCATTGAAAATAACCTTCAGCTCACTATACTTTCCAAACATCATACATCAGAAGAAGCCAGACTCCAACAACAAGCCCTGCTGCCGGGTGCTGGTAGGAAGTCACCCCCCATATAATTGTGGCCTTAGTTAGGAACCAATGATTGTGTGTAAGCCGCTCCGAGACCCTTCGGGGTTCGAGCGGGATATAAATTGAATGATAAATAAATAAATACACCCTGTGATGAAATAGCTCAACATTGTTATCAAATATAGTTGAAGATACCTAAAAATAAGAATATAGCATTCTTGAGACATAGACACCACCTATGGCTTGGCATCTTCCAAACCCATAACAAATAGTATTTCAGTGTTGCTTACTACACAAAGCAAAATCTGGTAACTGCATTCTGATCATCTTGTGACATATTTCAGGCTAGTTCTCACTACTTGAAGAGGTTGCTTGCATTTGGATGAAGCCTGCTGCCCTTACACGGACAGAGGAAATTAAAACATTTTGTGCTGAAGGACCCATAGAGAGAATGGAAAACCACAAAGAAGCCACAGTTTCCCCATGAAGTACCCATAAAGAGAATGGAAAACCACAAAGAAGCCACAGTTTCCCCACCCACTACTACAGAAGAAAAAACAGCAGTCACCTAACTTCATCATGTTGAATTTTGTTAACAGAACAAGCACTGGCTTAAGTGAAAGACACATTCTTACAGGAGCGTTTCATTACGTTTATGTGCTATCAGTAGCATACATTGGGCAACAGGCTCTTGAAAAACGGTCCCTTAAGGTAAATAATGTTCACATATTTTCATACAGTTCCTCCACAGCTTGAATTGATAGGCCTCTGTGGTAATATAGTTCATTTTATACACTGGTACAACAAGAGCACTTACCACTTGCCCATTCTGAGGATTTTTATGAGCATACGGGGGGCCACGAATATGATTCCACATTTGGCCAGAAGTCATTGCGAACACAACACACTATTAAAACAAGAGAAGATACTGTTATAAACGGGAAGAAACAAGATAAGTTCACCGGCTTGCATGCTCAGGGAAACGATCCTTAACTGAAACACTTCTTACATTCCTGGAGTTAGGACTGCAGTGCAGTTATTTTATAGCCATGGCAGGAAAGGGCAAGAGGCAGAGAAGGAACAGATCCTTGCAGCTTAGTTGTGATCTGTCCAAACTTCAGAAAAGAACAGCCAGAGGAAAAGCTTTGAGAGATCTCTCTGGTGCTTCATGCTCACCGTAAAGAAAGAATTGTAGTCTATGCTTTTTAAGACTATCCAGTGCATTTCTATCTACCATGATGCTTTAGGTCGGCTTAATTCTTCTTATCCTGAACTGAACCTCTGACAACCAACATGGAAAAATCTCAGGCAAGGTCCTAATGGGAATATTTGTCTAATAAGCTATGTTGGCTCTAGGAGATACTGGTCACTGGCATTGGTGGAAGGAAAATAAATGTGACATTTTCATCTGCCAACTGAAGAGTTAAGAGTGGTAAAAATCCACAAAGTCTGTGGATTTGCAAATATGTACTGGCTGGTAGAGCACATACATAATGCAAATCAACAAACAAATTAGTTGCAGCCAGTCACTGGAGCACAAACTCTTCAATTAGAGAAATGCCCACCAAGTGGCTGGACTTTATATGAAAAGGCAGAGGGCCTAAACGAGTATTCACATAGCGAGCAAACTTGGTCTTTTGCTCTGTTGTTGTCTACTGCCTTTGAAACATTATTTGACTGGAGGCATTGCACACATACACATTTTAGAACAAGAAAACAAGCTGTATCGGTTTTCATAATAAGCAACAAATGAAACCTAATTTGTAATAAACTTATTTTTTTTGTTTTCCTTCACAGCAGCAGATGTTAGTACAGAGTGTAATATACAAAGTGGCCTAACACATTCTAGCAAAACTGGAGGCTCTCTTCTTTTTTTGCCTGTTATTAACAATTTCCATTCTGCCATCAGTAATTTCTGTGTTATTTCCATATCTACATTTACCTTAAATTTGAGCTGGGTTTCTAACCTAAACAACTTGCAATTGCACAGGTATTGGATTAGTATAGCTGGGACTGGCCTAGATTCCTGGAATGCCTCATTGTGTCCATTGTGGGTATCTGATGGCTCAGATTCTTACCTTTTGTTTTGCAAATACCTGCCCCTGTTATAATTGCTGCAAACATTTTTTTATTAAATCTCTAACTGAATTTTAATGGTGCATTAATGTAGCGTTTTCTTTTGAAATGGTTGTTCCCTGCCCTGGCCCTGAGGAGAAAGGCAGTATGAGCTGAAACTAATTTTTTTCCTCCTATACTTGATTTTTTAATAATTAAATAGACAAAAATCCAGCAGGATCATGTTTTCCTATAAGACGGTGTAAAAAATATTTAATGTGAAGATACTAGAATCTAAACAGTCTATATAACATTACCAGCACATTCCATGCATATCAGCCCTGTACCATGCCATCCTGGACAGAATCATGCCCCTGCCTGTATCCCTTTCACCCACCGAAAGCTATTCTCCATAGTCCCCCCCCTCAATGGTCCTCTCTGCGTTTGCCTGCCACTCTGGATTTTTCAGTGTTCGATTCGAGGCAATTTAAGTCCATGGCGAAATAGCATCCAAATAACCCAGGGCAACAGCAGGCTGAAACCGGGCTGACCACTGAAGGGATATAATATAATGCAGAATGGGGGGGGGGGGATCCGGAATAAAAAGAACATTGAACTTGATTTTAGTGCAGAATGGGGGGGGGATTCTGGATTAAAACCGTTGAATTTGATTTTAGTGCAGAATTGCTTGGAGGAAGATGGAGTAAAAGGAGAGTGCAGAAAGGGCCAATGTTTTCTTGTCATAGGCAATCTCCTGATCCATCTATACTTGCTCCCTCTCTTTCTCTCCCCATCTTCCATACATGGATGATTGCTGAGACAAATATAAAAAATATAATTTGCTTTATTCTATCAAACTGGATATTTTAACAAATCAAATTAACTCAACATGGTCTACTTGTATTAGATGTATGAGATTTTTAATAGGGTTAGCATAAACTCACTAGGCAAGCCATGATCTCTCAACCTTAGCATTGCTCCCCCCGCACACACACGTAATATGGAGACAATACAGATCTACCTGACAGATTGCAAGACCTGAGCAAGGCTGTTAACTGTGGGACATTTTGGAGGGCATTAATTCAAAGGGTTGTCATAAGTCACCAGCTGCTTCACGGCACATAACATGCATACTTGACAGGGCTGGTGTACGAATTGGTGATAATGTACGTGGAGATCTTTGAACATAAAGGGCACTATATAAATGCTTGACATTATTATTATTACTCTCTCTATATTAGTTATATTAATCAACAGGAGCAAGAGAGCCTCTAGATTCAGGACCAAGCCAGGCTTATTTCAGCTTTCCAGCCTTGTTTCTGGGTAAGTTTGGACCATTTTCGCAAGGCTAAACCAAATAATGATTCAATCTGAGCTGAGGGCCACTGAATTAGCTTAGTAACTCATATCAGCAGGCAGTGGTACTTGTGGTAAACATACAAACAGGCGGGAAAGGTAGAAAGTAACTGGCTGTTGATTCCAGAAAACCAGAGGTCATTTCGGGGGGGATCACAGGGGATCGCAGTTCCCCCAGGTTAGGTATGGGGGCGGGGCACATGACGAAGCCCCGCCCCCTGCTTCCGGCCGCCCCGCTTCTGGCCCTCATTCAGCCAGGAGGAGACAGGAGAAGAGGGAGGGTAAGTTGCTTCCTCCCTGCCTCTCCCCACCCCTGTCTGCCTGGGGCCAGGGAGGGCCTTCGCGGGGCTTCCTTGCACTCCTGCCGGCCTTGCAGGTCCACCACCGGGCACCTCATGGGGCTCGGCAGTGG